TGGAGGCAGGACACATGTTCAGTCCCTGCTAGATATTGCAGCTGGCAAGGCACACGGAGCTAAGCTTGAGCCCTGGAGCTGAAGGAGCCACGTGGAGACCCCTGGCCAGTGCTGACATGTCTCCACTGCCACTGGATCCACAAGACTTCCCGGCCACTGGCCTGTGCTCTTCCTGCATTGGGCGTAGGGTCCCTATGAGTCAGCCTTGACAAGCAGGCAGTAAGTTTGGTTTTGGGGTATGTCTACAGTAATCCACACTCTGATGCACTCTGTCTGGGGCAAGACTATTCATACCCTTGGTCACTGGGCCTAGGGAATTCAATGGAGACAGTGGTTCTCAACCTGTGGGTCATGACTCCTTTGGGAGTCAAACGACCCTTTCACAGGGGTCACCTGATTCATCACAGGAGCAAAATGACAGTGATGAAGTAGCAACGAAAATAATTTGATGGTTGGGGGTCACCACCACATGAGGAACTGTATGAAAGGGTCTCAGCACTAGGAAGGTTGAGGACCACTGCGTTAGAGACACTCGAGAGTTGAATACCAGCTCTCCTGCCTCTCTGCTTGGTCTTGAGCAGGTTTCTTAATCCATGTTGTCTGTTTCCTCATCCGTAAAATGAGATGCCCCCTCCCAGGGGATGGACAACAGAAAAGTGGGTGAAGGGGGACACTGGTCAATGTAAGGCATGAAATAATAGTAATAATTTATAAATTCTCAAGGGTTCATGAGGGAGGGAAGGAGAAAAATGAGGAGCCGATACCAAGGGGTCAAGTAGAAAGAGAATGTTTTGAAAACGATGCTGGCAACAAATGTACCAATGTGCATGACACAATGGATGGGTGGATGGATTGTGATAAGAGTTGTATGAACCCCCAATAAAATGATTAAATAAAAAGGTAAAAATGAGATGAACCGCACCCTCGTTGCCTCCTTATGTGGGAATCTTGTGTATTGTTTATATCAGAGACTTAGAAAGGCCTGTGGCTTGCTGTTACTACTGTGATGGCTCCAAGCTCTTGGGTCTGGGAGAACCCGGGGGAGGTACTTGGCTCCTCTACAGGCTTCAGAGGGGGCTTCCTAGAGGAGATGACGCCGGAGCCTAAAAGACCAGGGGAAAGGAGCTTGTCAGTTGAAGGACCAAGAGGTCAGAGCGGTTCCCAGGGAGTGAGAAATGGTGGGCACTTTAGCAATACAACTTGGAGAAATTTTTCTCTTTCCTCTCCAGATCTGCTCTAACAGAAATAACACCACAAGTGCCCTTCACAAGATGCTTTAAACCAGCAACAATGTCTTCTCTCCGAGTTCAGGGCGCTAGAAACCTGGATGCAGGCTGTCGGCTCTGGCAGAAGGCTGTCTCTCTCCATTGGATCTGAGCAGTGATCCTTGTCTCCTTTCAGCGTCTCTGGGCTCGACATTCCTTGGAGATCCCCACGTGTCTTGGCATCAATTCCCCCCCTGGGTCTAGGAGGTTCTCAGTGCAGGGGCCCCAGGTCCAGAGGACCCATCTGCTTCTGGCCCTCTTTTCTGGGTTTGTCAGGTCCCTGTCCCTGTTTGGTTCTCCTTCCTCTTATCTCGTGTAAGATGACAGGTGGTGTTGTGGGGCTACGCGTCGGCGGGCTGCTAACCACCACACGGTCAGCAACCCTCCAGGGGAGAAAGACAAGGCTTTCTAAGAAAGTGACAGTCTCAGAAGTCAGCCCACGGGGGCACGTCTCCTCTGTCCTAATGGGTTGCTGGAATCAACTCGATGGTGGTGAGTTTGTTGGCTTTTCAAAGATCATGCTGTAGGGCCACCCCCAGGGAAATGCTCCTTCCATTGCATCAGGACTGTGACCTGTGTAAGACCGTGGCGTCCCACCCAGACTCCTGCCTCTTAGTATGTCAAACATGATCTAACCCTATCCCATCCGCCTCTCACTCACCGCCACCGCCACCAAGTCCATTGGACGCGCTCATTGTGACACTGTAGGATGGACAGGCACTGGTCCTGGGGGTTTCTGAGGCTGTAACTTGGTGGGCGTAGAGAGCCTCATCTTTCTCCCAGAGAGCAGCTGGTGAGTTTGAACTGCTGGTCATGCTGGTCAGCAGCCAACAGTCACTGTGAGTCGGACTCCTCTCGATTCCAGTTGGTTGGGTTTGGTCGAAGGGCAGTGTACGGCTGCCCCTGTATGTGCCCTTTAGGTATCAGCCTGGCAACCACCACGTCAGCGGATCAATATTACCAGCAGCCCCCAGGGGAGAAAGGGGAGACTTTCCACTCCTATCAAGATGTACAGCCTTGAAACCCCATGGGGTCGTTCGACCCTGCCCAGTAGGGTCAGACATGAGCCAGAAATGTATTCAGTGGCCATGAGGAATCTTTACAGGAGCGGAAAGTCTCCTCTTTCCCCCTCCGATTGGCTGGTGGGTTCAAACTGCCTTACACAGAGGATAAACAAACAAACAAACAACAAACAAACTCACTACCATTCGGTCAGTTCTGACTCATGATGGCGAACCCTTTGGAAATGGTTGAACTGTCTGGGTGGGTTTCAGTGATTGTAACTCTCTCCGAGAATAGACAGCCTCCTCTTTCCCCCTCGGAGCAGCTGGTGGATCCGAACTGCTGACTAGGGCTCTTCCACCGAAGAGAGGGTAGGATTGACAACACATCACACACGGAGGATAATTACATCAGATCCCGGCTTGCTGTTAGGTTCCGATTCATAGGGACCGTAGGACCGACCCATTGCCCAGTCCTGCAGCCCCTCACTCGTTCTTCTGTGTGAGCTCATCAGGGCAGCCCCTGTGCCAGTGCTTTGGTGGAGCCTCGTCCTCTCTTTTGCTGCCCCGCTCCTTTGCCAAGCATGACGTCCTGCTCCAGGGACCCGTCTTTCCTGACAACATGTCTGAAGTATGTGAGGTGCGGTCTCGCCATCCTTGCCTCGGAGGAGCGCGTTCTGACCGTACTTCTTCCAGACAGACCCGTGTGGTTTGGGGGCCGTCCCTGGTACTCTCCACGGTCTTCGCCAGCTCCATCATTCAGATGCAGTGATGCTTCTCCGGTCTCCCTTATTCAGTGTCCAACTTCCTCAGGCACAGGGGACGGTCGAAACCACCGTGACTTGGGTCAGGCACGCCTGAGTCTTCGAAGTCACAGCCTTGCTCTTCAACACCCTCACGAAGTCTGGTCACTTGGCTGCTGCCTCCTTAAGCCATGAGAATAGCACTGTCAACCTGCGAGGCGGCTTCATGCATCACTGCCAACCCCCTGAGAATCACGGCCCAGTCAAGCGGACATCTATTGGTGGGGACATGGGGAAGGGAGGGAGGGGGCTCCTTAATTCAACGTTCCAGGCTCAGTCTTTGGGAGCTGCCTTGGGCATGTCATTGGATTGCTCTGAGCCTCTGTCTCTTCCCCTGCCTCATGAGAATGTGTTGTTATCTCTGACGGATAACAATTGGCACCTTCAATCCAATCCATGACAATTTCTGGGGAAAGGGGGTGGAGAAGTGTTCAGGGGCCTTGCTCTTATTTCAAGACACCCCCCCATCTTCAAACTCATGGGAAAGCTGCTGTCCTGGGCCAGGGTGGGAACAAGCTCCCCACGGCTTCCAAAACTTCAGGCACAGATGTAGAGGCCCGAACTGAGGAGCGAAACGGGCCTTGGCTTTCATGGAAATCCAAAGATAGTTCGGTGGGAGGAAGGATGGCACAAACGCTGGGCTCCTCCACCCCGCAGCTGGGGATGAATCAGCCCCTTGAGTTTGGAAGAAGTCATTTCGGGAAGTCAGGCCTGGGTTCGAGGCCCAAGGCCTCCGGTCCTCTCTGACTCACCTTGGGCGGGGCAGCAAGGGAGGGCTGGGGGTGAATCCGGAGACTGAAGCTTCCGGTATCTATATCTGTGCCAGGAGTGGGTGGGCAGGGCAGGGCGGGGCAGGTGATTTATTGGGACCTGGGTACATTCAGGACCTCTTAAGCCCTGTTCCCGCTCCATTTAAGAATCCTAGCAGATTCTACCCGCCAGGCATGGGTGGAGGTGAAATCCAAGTGCGGAGGGGGGGTGGGGGCAGGGGGATGGCTTGAGTCTCCTGTTAGACTCCTGAAAGGAAGTTGTCCTGTAGATTCGGGGTGGTGAGAATAAGCAGTCCCACCCCCACCCCCAACCAAACCCACCGCCAGAGTCACAATTCTGACTCACAGCGACCCATAGGACTGAGAGGAACTGCCTCTGTGGGTTTCCTAGGATGCCAATCTTGTTGGAGACTGGTGGTCTCATCTTTCTC